AAAAGGTCAGGAAGCGAACGAAATGGCAAGTGTCCGGTTTGATGTCCAGTCAGCACCGCTCGGTGACGAGAGAGCAATCAGATCAACCATTCTACTTGCATAAATACTCTACTAAGATATTTAAATGTAACAAATTTAATAAGCGTTTTCGTCTGTTTTTTTTTCGATCAAAAATCACGAGACTTTTCACCAAACCCTTTGTAAAACCACAACATAAATAAAGTTTCAAATATTTCACGTTTCGAGTGTTAGTTGTTAGTTAAACAATATAGTTTGCAGTTTTGTGTGTCACAAATACTTCAGTAGAGAGGGCGTTGGTATCAACATGTGACACCCGTTAATATAAACGGTAGGAAAAATACACTTTTTGCTTTGAAACATTCGTTCGCAATTTTATGTGAGTGTTTGAACGCGGCACAGAATGTTCAAACTCAGGCGTCCCGGATGCATATTCATGGTTGCTCTGCGCCACATGCAAATTGTGATTTACACACTGTAATGAATTCTTTTGATCTGTGGATTCACATATTTGATTTACCCCATCGATGTCGGGTATTAGCATGACACGCTGATTTCATATTCATAGTTTCTGTGGTGAGCGATCTTCATTTGTTAAAATGTGTTAATTACGGAAAAAAGTGTGATGGGGGATGTCACAACTCAAAGTAGAAATCTTTTTATTGACAAATGAAAATCGATTATGTACGATGTCGTGTTTACGATACAAAGTACAAAAAACTGACTTATAATTACACACAGCTCTCAGAACTTTCATTTTTAGTTCGATCAATAAACCGAGAATTGTTGGATCGATATAAAAGCTGCGCGAGTGTCCCAAATGGAAAAAAACAACTAAAAACTTACATAATTACTTTAGTGATTCAACTGCTCGAAAGAAACGCAGAAATGACAAGACGATGACAAATGAGCATCGCTCGCATCGCAACACAGTCGGGTGGCGGACCTCATCAAATTATTCCCCACTTAAAAAATCTCCGTAAACAAAAACGGGCCAAGGGAAAAAACACTCCGAGTCGCAGGGTAAAAAATAGGTATTGGCAACATTGATTGATGTGTACTAATAGGGCGCGAAGAAATGAGGCCGCTGCGTAATTAAAGGAAAAGTGACATCTTCTGTCAATGGCAGCGTTCTACTAGAAATAGAACGGTCACGCCTTTTGGTGAGGAAGTGATTAGTGTAACAAAGTTATTAAAAATTATTGAGTGAAGGCGGCTAATTGATCACCGAGTCTGTCGTCGTGTTACACTTCGATAGATACTATGTGTTTAATTTACACTGATTTTCTCTAACGATGCACATTGGAGACACATTTGGTTTCCAATAATAGCTACATGGGTTTATTTACTTACAACAAACTTACTTACTCCGAAATTCTCAACAACAAGAAGTTATTAAAAAAGGTACAGAAAAAAGGGAATAAATTTTAATTCACGGTTTAGCTAATCCTTAGCTAGGAGTCAGTTTTTGGTCGCCCTCCGTGGAAATGACACCCGAATGAAGGATGGAATAATGAATGTTTTCCACCACGCCCGGCACGCGTCGCCGCATAAAATAACATTCGCAATTAACATAACCAGCTGTTAGAATGTTTCTAGTTAGAATTATGTTTAGAATACCTTTACTTCTTTTGATTTTATAGACTATTTTATAGCCGCAGTTGTATCAGTTTTTTTTGTATGTGTATCTTAAAGTGTTTTAAACATTATATGGTACATAAAACTCATCATTTTATGCGTCCTAAAAATAAGAGGGAGTAACAAAAGCCACTAAATAATCAGGGACAGTGACACTGAAGATTTTTCCTCCAAAAAGCTACCTTATCGCTGTGTACATATCATTAGTAATGCAAAATAATGGGATACAGACACCTCGTGCCGTTTGCCAGCCAATGATTAATGCCGTTCCCCATTAATTCTTATTTTTGATGAGAAATTTGACTTGTGCTGTCAGACGCCGGATCCAGATTAATATAGGCTGACGGTGCAACTTACATTATGACACCGCGAGCCCCGTTTACGCTTCCCATTTATATCGAGTTTTCGAACTTTGGAATTCTAAGTATTTGAGCTGAAACACATACCGAGGTTTATAACAATGACAATTAGTTTTTTTGAGGCTGAATAAGGGTTTTAACTTAAAATGGGGTTAGCATTACTTTTAGTGGAAGTTACGTATTTACTTCTAAGAGTATTTTCATTTTAAAAGCAGCATAATATAGTAAGTGTATGTAGAGACGGGGCACCACGTGAATGTGACATCAAAGCTAACAATACGAATAGTTCGGTTTGCCACAGAACTAACCGAATAGTTGCCTGTAAAAGGGCAAAGTACAAAGAGCTATATAAAATTCCAGAACGACCGCATCGGCGACAAACTCGGAAGGTATTCAAAGGGCTGACGACTGCCGTGACGTGGCACCCTTTACCGACGCCCTGCGCATATTAGTCCACTGAAAATCAAAACTCGTTATTATTAATGATACGGCGCCATGACAATCTAAATATCTTTGGAAGCGCGCTGAAAGTTACGCACTAATCGTACGAAATTACTCCCGGCCAATCCAGAGATATAAATGTACACCGTCACCAGATGCGATCGTCGCCATCATCATTCAAAATAGCAGAAGAAAAATCACTTAAGATTCACAGCATTCAGTATCTTTATCTAACGGATACAAGAGTTCATTTTATGACCATTAATTTCGCCTTTTCGTCGGGTGTTTTATCATAACGGCTGCGAGGCTCTGTCGCGCGTCTCATTAATCAAAAGCATTTGTTTACAACGAAGGGAATTTGATTTGATTAAAATAATTCGCAATATCCTTGATAAATATCACCCTCGGTCTCCGTTTGATCTCACAGAAATTAATGGTGGAGGATTCAATCACGCAAGTGCTGTCGCCATTCTTGACGTTCTGTTACGTGATGCTGACGAACACTACGCTACAGTTTCAAATTATTTCCACTAAAATTAATTGCTTCAATTAACAACTTTGCTTGGTACTTATGCCTCAATTCTGATTTATTTGGTAGTAATTGTTTAAAGAAACTTTACCGAAGGTTTCATGGAAAAAATGTCCAAAGTGAAGGGTAAACAAACAATGCTATCTTTCCCTGGCAAGGGGCACAGGGATGAATAACGATCGATGTCACAGCGATGTGTGCCGATCCGGGCGGCGGCTCCGGCGCCCAGCACGGCTTAACCCGCCGCGCACCGATTAATCGCCGCCTAATTCCCACCAAAACCGAATTAAACCGGACGAATGCATTGAGCCGAACGATTTGTCTGATGTAATTGTCGTATTTGATTTACAACTCCCTTTTCGTAAATGGATACGATAATAGCTACTATCAATAACAGTATATTATGGTGTTAAATTATTGCATAATAAAATACACATGAACCTCCCCATCCTATTCTATGTATGCGCACTTAATTAAGTGCATTCTGTAGTCGAACAGCGAACAACTGATTCGTGGTACGCATTTGTTGTGTCGGGCCTTGTTATCTACTGAATGGGCATTATTAACTTAGACGCAGTAAGTAATTAAATAAATTTGAATTTAATTGCAAATGAAACACGACCGAGTACTCGTACAAGAGAAAACAAAACAAACAGTACGTACAAATTATATTAAATCAGAGATAATCCTGTCAATTAATTGGACTTAGCATTGAGAACCGGTCGCGGACGCATGCGCAAATTAAACGAACCAAGATAATGCGAGAGCAAGGAAGCCCGCCATTCAGACAAGGACATTAATATGACTTAACTACGTTACCTGTTGTTCCACTCAATTGTTATAACGTTAGAAATAATTGATCTCTGTTTATAAATATCTAGTCACATCTAGAATCTACTTAGTTGCTAACAATAACGTTAATCTTGTTACGAAGTGAAGCGCTTACTTCAATAACTAATAAGACTTAGTAAAATCGCTTTTAAAATCCAATTGAATTTTGTAAAAAAATACGGAGTAATTTCTTTAAAAACAGCCCTAATCCGGCGGCCGTGGCCGGCCGATCGCCGGCTGACAGTGACACATCGGTACAAGGCGCGCTGTCCGACTGTAATTCTACCCGGCCTCGATCCCCGGACCTACGTGTGTACGATTTTATATTCCAATCTACACGATTAATTAGATGGATTTGGGAACTGAAGCTCATTTTACGTATATTTTAATTAAACCAACAACCAACGATATCAAATTATTAAAATTTTAACATTTAACCAATTATGAGCACCTTGTTTTAATAAAATGTAGCCCCACCAGTGTGTCGAAATTTTACGTAATAAATATTGGAAGTATAGGGGAAATCAAATACGTTATGTAGAAAAATCCCGACGTAACCAATAAAAGCTTTTGACATGTTACCGTCACTTGTATGAAACCTTCAAACGCAGTAAAATCGAAGTCAAAACCGCGAAGTATCAAAGCGACTAGGCGATCAATCACCATCCATTAAACAAGAAAAGAAAAGTGCTTTCCCCCGCCGATTGGCCCTCGAATCAGCCCAATTTACATGAGAGCCGCTTTTTCCTCGCATCGAGATTAGCCCCTGAATGAGTTTGATGAATCGTTCGCACCCCGCAGCCGTCCCGCGCTGTGAGCGGTCATTTGTTAAAAATACACCCGATCCACGGATCTAATTGTCTCCTCTAATTTCACACCCTTCTGTGATATCTGCACCCCGTTCAAATTAACAAAGATTTCGCTTTGTTTTAAAATAATGATCGTTCGAGTGTGTCTGTTTGTGTGTAAGTAATCTACAGAGCCACCCTATTCTGTTACAAGTTTTAATTATTTTTGGATTACGTCGATGATATTGATGAGTGAAATAGTGCACAGTGAAACAGCGAAAAGAAAGTAGTAAAAGAAATTAAATGAAAATATAGACGTCCCATGCTTGGTTCTACAGATTGTCTGCCATTATGACGATTCCGAATCTAGATAATTCTACACAAATCGATTCTTACCTTTCGAGATGTTTAACGATGTCCTCATATGCCGCTCTACAATTCTCCCAAATACCAGATCTGCAGACAAAAAGAAAATAAAATAAGAAAACCGAAGGAACGGTAAGTAAACTAGAATTAACCATAAACATAAGAAAATAAGAAAGATGAGAAGAGGTAATGATAATGACAGTGAAAAGTATTCGAAATACCTAACAATCGATCTGTTCATTATCTCTGAAATAGTAGTTGTACAGTAATGGTACTCCCTACAGTCGTACGTAGTGTATACAGTTGTGAAATCTCTAAAACAATATTAAACGCACGGCTCTTCTATACGTAAGCAATATCTCAAACTAATTACAAAAGTATTTGCGAAGAAAGTTTTTATAAAAAGGGTTTGAATATGAAAGAAATAATTATGAGCACTCAATATTAAATGTTCCGCCAGTAAAGCGAGGGGTCGTTCAAATTATGTTTTAAAAACAATCGTTTATATTTTTACCGTAACCACTCATGCGTGATCGTCCAAATTGTTTCTCGATTACTTTAGCTCTTTGTTTTTCATTAAACTTTTCTTCCTTGTTTGTAATCAAAGAACGTCTTTTGTAAGTATCATCCAGTAAAGGGTCACTAGTTCTTTGTCTTGTAACTGGAGCACCTACCCCTAACACTCGATGATAGTTCCTTTCACAACAATGTATGGTTACTCGGACTCGTTCGTGTGTATGAATTATTAATACATGTGTTTTGTTTGCACTCAGTCAATATATTAAACGAAGCGTTAAATAGTATATTACCGCTATATTGTACGGTTTAATTGGTTCATGTGCGTAGTTCGGTGGAAAAACAAAACCAAGTATCTATGTTTCTGTCACAATTGATGAGTGGGTAATGTAGGTACTGTTTGTATCAATTTGCCTTTTTCTCCCTTATTTATTCCGGTAGCTGTTGTTAATTATGCAAAGCGTGTGCAATTGTAACGCTTGAATCCGCATTTATGCAGAAAAAGAGAAATCGTAGTCGGATTGTTAATAGCTCTTGTATGAAATCAAAGACATTTTGTTCTTGGAAGCTACTACAACAACTACACACATAAAACACATACAAAATACAAACGGCTATTTAGTTAAGTAGCGATTAGTTGAAACAGAGACATATGTCAGGTCGTATTATAAGTAGAGGTCGCCTATGTCGCGAGTGGCAGTAAGACACTGGGGTAAGTCAAGTGAGCATTGTGGGTCTTCGGAGCGGAAGTGAGGGCATTCAGTGTTTGTACTTTTCTAACTGGATTAACTTCCCTCCTGGACATTTAACCTGAACCACTTGACCAACTGCTTAAAGGTTTCTTTTCGTGAATTAATACTTAAGCCGTTTATGACGTGAACGAAGATTTATTTTTTCGTCGTTTGAATATATTCTAATTAGTTTGTAGTTACGAGGGTTTTTGGAGGTTTTCTAATTGGAATTTTAAAGCCGTTTTGTGAAGTTTGCTACACGTGTACATAGAGTGACAGATGTGACGTTAAAATGATGAAATATTCAGTGCTGCTTGAATATAAGATTTTGTACCACGTACGTACTAGATAAGTAAATAGGTACAAAGTTACTAAGATGAAACAAAACTTGCAAATAAACTATTTTTCTTTCTTTCTTTCTTTCTTCTTCTTGTAATCAGTAATTGGAAATGATGTTCAACAGCAGTTGATGCTTGAATACAAGATGAAGTTTAACCGATGGAGAAAAGAAAGAGTTCCTGAGCACTGGTTCATTATTTAACAAAACAATCAGAAACAAAGTAACAAATTTTACCTCTTTGAAATACATACAACACGGAGGTTACACGTGCCGTCGAAATTCCGACTACCAACAACTTTTAATTTTCCTCCTGAATTTAATATTTTTGTGTAGGTATTCATTGTTTTTCATGCCTTAACACAACTGTTTTGTAAACGACTGCCTATAGAAAATCATGTTATTTTAGTATATTAAATTTACCTGCTTCGATCTTTTCATAAACAAAGCCTACATAAATTTATTATGTTCTGTCAGTTTTTTTTATCTTTCAATCAATAAAACCGAAATAGTCTGACTTCCGGCGATAGGATTTATGACAACCATATTTGTTCCAGCCACCGTATGTCCAAGCGTGGACAAAGTCATAAAACCGTGACAGAAAGTCAGGGATGGATGCATTTTTATATTTTTACTGTGGCTCTCGAAATTACTTTGGTTTAGTAATTAATTAATGTAAACAAGGAAATACTGTGGAATTGTGTTTTTTGTATCCTTGGATAAAAATACTCGGATATGATCTCCAAACTTATTACCTTTCGGATTTAGTTAAAGTCAGCGCAATCACCATAACTTTAGGAGTCGTAGTTAGAAAGCCTATACACGTTCTAATAACAAACCTATCACTATGAAACAGAACTGTTGTCCAACAATAAAATATAAACAATACTTACTCTCTGCAACTTAGACAAATATAAAAAGTTGGTTCCACTCGCAACTCCAACTAACATCAACCTGCAAACGTATATCATATACAAGCTTAAAGACTCTTCCTTACCTTGCCAGTGCTTCCATATTGTGCATGGGTTGTCCTTTGATGATGGAACCGTCCGGCCGTGGTACTCCATGGTGGGGCATGCCGGGGGACATGAGGGCGTGCTGGTGCATGAAGCCCATGGGACCCAGGTGTGTCGGTGGTGCGTTGTAACCATTCGCCAGGAGAGGAGACTTCTCCATGCGAGCCATTTCTGTAACAAAACCACGTGTTAGGATTAAATAAGTTATCAAGTAAGACATCTAATCACCAAGTTTATAATGAAACCGTGTTTTAGTTATAATAAAATTACAAAGTATCCGGAATACGGCAAGTTCGTATAGTAAAATTTCCATAAAATGGTAATATCAAAATCGGGAGCCATGAAAAAATCTATAAATGTAATATCAACATGAGACCACTTAGGCGTAACACTCAGGTAAAATCCAATTAATGCCCAGTATTATCATTTAATTACTCGTTCCAATAATCGAATCGCCCGTAAAACGGTGTATCAACAATAATAAAATGAGCAATGAATTTCGAGACTATTGTTTTCTGGGTACCACAAACAACCCGAGTAAACATAAGGGGGGGTGAAGCGCAAATATTCTTAAAATGACCCCCCGTGAGGGTGTTTTTGGAGGTGCCGGGTGGTCTTTCGCTGCCCATGACCTGTCTGCCCCCCGAGGTCACCAAACCTACTGGGGCGTCGGAAACAATTAACAAGGTGTCGAATTAAACACGAATTAACGGTTGGACCGTTAAAGGAAAATACCCTTTTCCATTGTGGCAGCGTTTTACAAAGGATTTTGGGATTGCTGAATATTAAATATTGTGTGTCGCTTTGTTCCGCGATTAAGGGCACAGGTATGTGATGCGGTGTGTTTAATGCGAAAATTTTAATTATAAGCAGATCTTTCGGAAGACCACTGTAAACAGAGCTCTCGTTTTGATTGTTTGTGTCATCAGCCAAATAGGTAACATCGCACTGGAAATTTTAAACTGTTGAATGTTACAGACATGAGGTATTTTAATTGAAAGTTTTTCTATTTCTGCACAGGTAAAATTAATGTTAAATTAAAACAATACAAATCAAACAACTCTCATACGGATACTAATGCAAATGTAGGAAGTAGGAAGGTATATCTATATCACTCAAAACAAAGTCAAAACCTTATTGACACAGCAATGTAAATCAACTCCGTCCAACATGTATCCTAAACTCACAAATCAAACTGTTCAGCTAAAAATCAATCAAGCAACATGTTCCCTAAACTATAATAAGTACCTATATTTAGTTTACATCGACAATTCCCATAATTTATGAGACCACGCATGCAAATCAAACTTAACAGAAATCAAGGGTAGCAAGTAACAAACAAACATTATGACCAATGGACCCTGAATTAATTGTTTGGGTATATTTACTTAACTAACCGTTTCGGTTATCTTCGAAACCATACCGTCCAACTTCGTATTTATTATTGTAATTAATTATTCTACGTTTTGTTTGTGGCAACACTTTTGGTTGTATGTCAATATCGGCTGCCATCTTGAAAGTGGATAGCATTACTCACAAATTGGCATTCTCAAAACATTTGATAAAAAGAGTTACTATTTTATTGTTAAACTTACTATCTAAATAGTCTCCCTTGCCAAGGCTTTAAGAACTAAGAACATACTTAAGTAAAATATAAAATTAATTTTTGAACATGAATATTATGCGTTTCTAAAACAATTTAATATACTTAATAGACCCACATTAAAATATGGTCACCTATCTAATAGGATGGCACCAAAGTTTACTGAGATAACATAATATTTTAACAGTGATGGGATGCTCCCAAAAACCACAATTAGGTCACTAAACCAAAAAGCATATTTACAAATCCCCGGACACGAACCCGTAACCGCGCCGGTCAACCGCACTTATTAATTAACTAAATACGTGTTAAATCTCGTAATAACCTGCGGTTGTAACAACCCTTGGTGTTGTCTCGTTCTTATTTATCGAGTTACGTGCTTACCTCTCTTTCTAATTCGTAGAGCGGTCGGTGCGGTTGTTTTGAACAACTTCTCGGACTAAGTGTGAGGGTTTTATTATGAAACATGGATATCTGATTTTATTTAGTTTTGAGCATTATCGCAATTCAAGAAAATAAACTTTTCGTTTTAATCTTTAATTGTAGTGCTTAGTGAAATGATAAATACCGATTCAGCAATATTTCATGTGCCAGACAAACAGTCCGAACCGAAATGACCGTCCCTGACTCCACTTTAACGTTATTTGTGCACTCAACAAAAAACACAAAAGTGATCCTTCACAAATTGTTGCTCAATAATCGACAAAAATGTTCATCGTTTAACATTATGACTATTATTAAGCGAATCCACTGATCAGGGCATTTAAAGAAATGAAACGTCGATTCTGAACCGCTATTATATCGATACACATCGATTTATTGATCGAATATCGACTGTCCTCGACAAATGGTCGTATCAAATTACCGGCCATTATTTCGAATTAGAATCGATAGAATCGGGACCCCAATTATATCACTTATGTGTTTAAAGGAGGTTGGAATAAAGGTAATCATAACCGCAAAAACTTTAGGGACGCGCTTTTAGTTTGAAAAAATCCAATGTCCGGTGTGTAGCTGTTTGTTTTGATTTTATTAGAGTTCACACAACTGATGTAGACTGTGTTATTATACTGACGTAGAGAATCATTCGAATATTTTATCTTAACAAAGGCATTCGCAAGTTCTGAGATAATGGAACAAGCATAATAACCGTTGAGTTTTATTGCAGACAGATTACAAAATGACCAAACGAGGCAGGCATAAATGATTGCTCGTAAACTTAAAGGAGCGAGTGCCAACACTGACATTGTATTCTTGACCGACGCTTACATAATATCGTTGAATCTACATACCCATTATTGGACAATTTAAACACACCAATTTGTGCTGTTGTACCAAACCATTCAAGTCATAAATGCATACAATCATCAAGTGACCAGTCGAACATCATTACGGTTTGTACAATTGCTCATAACCTTATTTCCATTACAATGCGATGACAAACAATATTTAAATGCAATGTAATTATGAACTATCAATATGCCTAATTAGAGGTAATAAAAAAAATTAACGACATGACGTATGTTTTAAAGTTATTGATACAGTTCGACTGGACAAATGTATTCGAATTTAATAATATAGTGACTGTCGTGTATAGGCCATAATTTATTGAATAAATACATCCTTTGAAGGAGAATTTCAGAAATACGTGCGAAATACCCCGAACAAACCCCATTTCGCACGCAAGAATTCATGGAGTAGGCACTTTGTACACAGTTGTAACTAAAATAAAACGAAAGCTTTATTAAAGTTTTGTTACTGTCGTAAAATAACATCTATCGTAAACGTAGCCTCCTAGACTTTATAACTCGGTGGTTTTAACTGGAAACCTTAACATTACCGTAATGGCCTGTAAATCATGTGAAAGGAATAAATTATTGGATGCATTAAGTCGCTGAGAGTAAATACGAGGGTAATAAATGCAATACAAAGTAGCGTTTGTGATTTCATTTTGATTAACGTTAATAAAAGTTCAGTTCATAATGCAACTGTGGACAAGAACCAAAACGTACTAAACGATAACTACTTGAATGAATCAACGATACGACTGATATCACTGGCAGTAAGCAGAGTGTTATGGAATACTACAAATCTTGGAACGGTCGGCAAAACGAAGAAACTCGAAAATGATACGAACGAGGGCGAATTAAAAGCAAATTACAGTCAGCCGGCAATCGTAGCGTTTACAATAAATACATAATTGTACGGTCAGTATACCAATGGCATATGCGATTGGCCAAAATAACGGGCCGTGAGTTTGCACGATAAATCGCCCGAGTTGACGCTCGCTTTCGAAGAAAACTACAAAGTTTTAAATTGAAACACTGGCTGGCAAATAGTGTTCTACAAAGCTGCTTTTTAATAATTGGTATGGCAACACCTTGGTGACATTTGTGAAATGGCTTGTAATAAAAATTTTAATTGTAAGTCATTTTGAAAGATCTCAATAATGAGTGCGGATCTGCCAGTTAAAATATGTACGTACATTTTTTCATAATTCAGAATATTTTTGAACTCATAGAAATATTATTGCTCTTTTGTTTGAATGTACATACTTTGTTGGTTAATATAATAATGGCATAATATTATTAGTTTGTATCACTAGCACTCATAAAGTGAACTCATATTATTTACAACGTGTATATAAAATATCTATAAATTGTAAAGATATAATCCAAAGGTGTCAGTTAGAAGACATTGTGAAGACATCATAAAGTAAGATAAAAGTAATATGCAGAGTCCAATGACACACCCACCGAGAAGTGTACTGGATTTCAAAATGCTTATATTTAAAAATGCTACTAATGTACTTCGCAATACTCCGGAAATGTATCCAAGATTTGCCCACATTTGCAACCAAAACCTAACGAGTCAATTACAACAAGAAGACAACAAATCTACAAAGAAAATATTATTGCACACTTCCTACATTCATTGATATTTGAGATGGCAAGTAATATCCACTAATGAAAGAACGTTTACGATTGTAACACAAAGTGATTGACGCCTCTCGGACACTTGTACACACAAGTCCCAATGCGTTACAAGTTGTTTATCAGTCCAAGTACAATCGTCGACACAAGTCACGCGCCGAGTACAATCAATAACAGTAATATACCATCGCCGACAAAATACGAACGGTCAATATCGTGAGTCAACACCGACCGATAGACTGGGTTGCCAGGTGCTCTCACAGAAAAATTGCAAATAATTTATTGCCGTATGTTAAATACCTGTCATAATTTTTCTAACATTATAAAATGATACAGTTTTTATACCGACTTTTATATGTGACCAATTAATTATAATTTTTTTTACAACATAAATAACGAGGTAATTAAAATAGTGCAATAAATATCTGCATAAAATGTTGGATAAATATTTTTGTACTTTATCTGGGGTATTCCGCGGTATTCGTTTATTTCGTTTAAGCTTATAATGAGGCTGGCTCCCCTACATTGGCAACACCGACCGACTTATGTCTTGCCATAAACTCTTTCATTTGGCTCGGACGAGCCTTATGAACAATAAAACGTTGAGGGCTGGAGATTTGGACTGTAATAAAATA